ATTGAGCACTATTTTAACAGTGGTATTTCTATATCTCTCTATAATTGATGTATTGAGCACTATTTTAACAGTGGTATTTCTATATCACTCTACAATTGATGTTTTGAGCACTATTTTAACAGTGGTATTTCTATATCTCTCTACAATTGATGTATTGAGCACTATTTTAACAGTGGTATTTCTATATCACTCTACAATTGATGTATTGAGCACTATTTTAACAGTGGTATTTCTATATCTCTCTACAATTGATGTATTGAGCACTATTTTAACAGTGGTATTTCTATATCACTCTACAATTGATGTATTGAGCACTATTTTAACGGTGGTATTTCTACATCACTCTACAATTGATGTATTGAGCACTATTTTAATAGTGGTATTTCTACATCACTCTACAATTGATGTATTGAGCACTATTTTAACAGTGGTATTTCAATATATCTCTACAATTGATGTATTGAGCACTATTTTAACAGTGGTATTTCTACATCACTCTACAATTGATGTATTGAGCACTATTTTAACAGTGGTATTTCAATATAGCTCTACAATTGATGTATTGAGCACTATTTTAACAGTGGTATTTCTATATCACTCTACAATTGATGTGTTGAGCACTATATTAATAGTGGTATTTCAATATAGCTCTACAATTGATGTATTGAGTACTATTTTAACAGTGGTATTTTATATTGCTCTACAATTGATGTATTGAGCACTATTCTAACAGTGGTATTTCTATATAACTCTACAATTGATGTATTGAGCATTATTTTAACAGTGGTATTTCTATATCACTCTACAATTGATGTATTGAGCACTATTTTAACAGAGGTATTTCTATATCACTCTACAATTGATGTATTGAGCACTATTTTAACAGAGGTATTTCTATATTACTCTACAATTGATGTATTGAGCACTATTTTAACAGTGGTATTTCTATATCACTCTACAATTGATGTATTGAGCACTATTTTAACAGTGGTATTTCTATATCACTCTACAATTGATGTATTGAGAACTATTTCGACAGTGGAAATATTTCATTGTTTATTATTGTGACATATTCTGATGTTTATTCCAGCCGTGAGGTTTGGTCGGATGCCAAAAGCTGAACGTGAAAAATTGCTGGCTGATAAAGAAGAACTAATGACAACATGTGGAAAGAGAATTGTGGAATTACGTTCATTAACAGATTTAATCAAGGCTGCCTTCAGAGATGTGTTTTTTAATACCATTTTCTTTGCCCGTGAAAATATGAGATCACCATTATTTGCTGGGAATCAGGTAAGGAGCTTAGTTCATAACTTAATTCATAACTTAATTCATTACTTAATTCATTACTTAATTCATAACTTAATTCATTACTTAATTCATAAATTAATTCATTACTTAATTCATAACTTGATTCATAACTTGATTTATAACTAGATTCATTACTTAATTCATAACTTTATTCATAACTTAATTCATAACTTAATTCATAACTTTATTCATAACTTAATTCATAACTTGATTCATTACTTGATTCATTACTTGATTCATTACTTAATTCATTACTTGATTCATAACTTGATTTATAACTAGATTCATAACTTAAATCATAACTTAATTCATAACTTAATTCATAACTTAATTCATAACTTAATTCATAACTTAGTTCATAACTTAATTCATAACTTAATTCATTACTTAATTCATTACTTGAATCATAACTTGATTTATAACTAGATTCATTACTTAATTCATAACTTTATTCATTACTTAATTCATTACTTAATTCATAACTTGATACATAACTTAATTCATAACTTTATTCATTACTTAATTCATAACTTAATTCATAAGTTTATTCATTACTTGATTCATTACTTAATTCATTACTTAATTCATAACTTTATTCATTACTTGAATCATAACTTGATTTATAACTAGATTCATTACTTAATTCATAACTTTATTCATAACTTGATTCATAACTTGATTCATTCTTAATTCTTGTGTTGAAACGGTTAGTGAATTTTACGAACCGGGTAATCATCGGCAATAACCGTTTGTTACCCGGTTAATCCTGGTTAATTACTAAAGATTATAACTTTGATTTATAACTTGAAATAACTTAAGATAACCAGATTCATTTCATTAACTGAATAATTAGTAGTAGCCAATAGATATAAGAAATAACAGAAATATTATTTCAACCTAGACTGTTAATTAAATAATATTCTGTATCTAGGCATGTATAAAAATGATAAAACAATGATGTATCAGGATGAGATGAGAATCAGGTCTATTAATTAAATTATATAATGAGATCAATCTAACTTAAATAAGACCAAACTTAATCTTTTATTTTTATTTAGCTACTTCAGTCAGGGTCTAAAGACGGGCCTCTTGAACATTGGTCAAAATAACCTTTTGACAAAATCTGATCATATCAAATTCCTTCACTTTCACAAAATGCCAGTGTTGGAGAGGGCAGAAATTTGATTGGTTAAAAAGCAGGGTTAGTTCAAATGGTTAATTTGAGTTTCAGAGGCCAGTCTTTAGAACCTAACTGAACTGGCTATATTAAAAATTAAAATAAAAAACGTAAGGTAAGTTAGTCTAGTTTTAATTAGACTGACACCGACACCAGAATTAAACCAGGCCGATCATTCATCACCTGATTCTGATCACTTGTGTTAAATAGTTTTTCACTGTCCATTAAATAGATTAAATATTAACATTATATAATAACTAGTGTGGGAAACAATCTCTAAATTCATGACCTATCATTCTTAAAAATACCTATTTCAAAATTAATAAAACATAATAAATATATAATGTTTTGAAACTTTGATAATTCTGAAATGCACAACTTTTCAAAATCATTTTCACTTTTATCAGGTTTGAAATTTCACTATGTTTTGAAAAATTTGATTGTAAATTCAGTCATATATTGGTACTAGTTTATTAATACTTCCTCTGTATTTATTATCTTGATATTCTTTAATTAGAAATGTAGGGGCAATGAATAATATATACATATATAAAACAATAGGCTATAATAATTATGAGCTGGGTGTCTTATTCTTGAAAACTTTAGGATTGTAAAAGTAAATGTTTAGGACAATGTTAGCATCGATTTGCACATTTGGAATTTTCAAGCGAACGTCTGTGGTTCTTCCACTTCCATTATCACAAAGGGTCTAATACAATATAAACAGATCTAATTCTATAACTTAGTTTTATTATGTGATCACGTTACTGTACTACTTAAAATCTAGTCTGAAACTTCTGTACAATTGTGTTATTTATTATACAATTGTGTTATTTATTATACAATTGTGTTATTTATTATACAGTTGTGTTATTTATTATACAATTGTGTTATATATTATACAATTGTGTTATATATTATACAATTGTGTTATTTAATATACAATTGTGTTATTTATTATACAGTTGTGTTATTTATTATACAATTGTGTTATTTATTATACAATTGTGTTATTTATTATACAATTGTGTTATATATTATACAATTGTGTTATATATTATACAATTGTGTTATTTAATATACAATTGTGTTATTTATTATACAGTTGTGTTATTTAATATACAATTGTGTTATTTATTATACAGTTGTGTTATTTATTATACAATTGTGTTATTTATTATACAGTTGTGTTATCTATTATACAATTGTGTTATTTATTATACAGTTGTGTTATTTATTATACAATTGTGTTATATATTATACAGTTGTGTTATATATTATACAATCGTGTTATTTATTATACAATCGTGTTATTTATTATACAGTTGTGTTATTTAATATACAATTGTGTTATTTATTATACAGTTGTGTTATTTATTATACAATTGTGTTATATATTATACAATTGTGTTATATATTATACAATCGTGTTATTTAATATACAATCGTGTTATTTAATATATAATCGTGTTATCTATTATACAATCGTGTTATCTATTATACAATTGTGTTATATATTATACAATTGTGTTATTTATTATTTCAGAATATAAGCCTAGATGAATACCCGGTGGTGGATTGTTTATCGTCTAATGAGTTTTTTGAAAGAGAGATTTTTAATCAATACCAGGAGCTGATTCTACCAGTCATGGAGGCCAGTGTGAAATTCGCCAAGAAATTACCAGGTTTTACCAATTTATCAATGGCTGATCAGATTTGTCTGATGAAAAATAATGGTTTTATGGTAGTTCAGTTAGCAGTAAGTAGACTTGTTTTTCTAGACAGAGCACTTGATACCATTCTGAGATTAGGTTTGTCAACTTTCGCCCTTGGAGAGTCCACATAATGATGTTGTTTGTTAGTTGGGTTTGAGAATATTTTGTGATATTGTGAAAATGAGTCAAGGTATAAGATGAAGTTAGTAATAGCTTGACATTGTGAAGATGAGTCAAGGTATAAGATGTAGTTTGTAATAGCTTGACATTGTGAAGATGAAGTTAGTAATAGCTTGACATTGTGAAGATGAGTAAAGGTATAAGATGAAGTTTGTAATAGTTTGACATTGTGAAGATGAAGTTAGTAATAGCTTGACATTGTGAAGATGAGTAAAGATATAAGATGAAGTTTGTAATAGCTTGACATTGTGAAGATGAGTAAAGGTATAAGATGAAGTTTGTAATAGCTTGACATTGTGAAGATGAAGTTTGTAATAGCTTGACATTGTGAAGATGAGTCAAGGTATAAGATGTAGTTTGTAATAGCTTGACATTGTGAAGATGAAGTTAGTAATAGCTTGACATTGTGAAGATGAGTAAAGGTATAAGATGAAGTTTGTAATAGCTTGACATTGTGAAGATGAGTAAAGGTATATGATGAAGTTAGTAATAGCTTGACATTGTGAAGATGAGTAAAGGTATAAGATGAAGTTAGTAATAGCTTGACATTGTGAAGATGAGTAAAGGTATAAGATGAAGTTTGTAATAGCTTGACATTTTGAAGATGAGTAAAGGTATAAGATGAAGTTTGTAATAGCTTGACATTGGGAAGATGAGTAAAGGTATAAGATGAAGTTTGTAATAGCTTGACATTATGAAGATGAGTAAAGGTATAAGATGAAGTTTGTAACAGCTTGACATTGTGAAGATGAAGTTAGTAATAACTTGACATTGTGAAGATGAGTAAAGGTATAAGATGAAGTTTGTAATAGCTTGACATTGTGAAGATTGTGTGTTGTTTGTAATAGATTTATGAAGTACTGGTAGGTCAGTATCTTGTCACGTGATATTATGGCACCAGTAGAATGATTATTGATTGATTGTATCTGACAGGTGATTTAAGAGTGAGACTGTATTACCTTCTTCTAGATTCTAGAATGTAGCACCTCTAACTATCAGTCTTAAAACAATAGTCCATAGGTTGAACCAAGTCCACGGTCCTAAGGGGGCCCCTTAGCTAACATTATGTTAAAAACAATCCAAGGGCCCCAACCCACTTCATTCCACAGGCCCTAACTCATATAGTTGAGCCACTGGTTTAAAATTCACATAAATGTACTTTTACATTCTGTCAGTCTCAAGGTCACTCCACCCACAACATTTCATCCACCCATTCAGAATCTGAGTCTTTGATATTATGTGTAGTCTGGTATTAGTTTTAGTCCTATATGCTTGTTGAAAGTGCAGGAATCAGGGCAGGGTACGCCATGCAGTGTGCAGTGAGGGAAATTTTACCTGTGCAGTTGTATTGGTTGACACCAGGCCAAATGTCAGAAGCACAGGCACAGGCATCAGAATTTGTATAGGGCTACTCTTTTTCTATTTCCAACTGTTGTGGGATCTTTTTACTGCCCCATACATACTATAAGACGTTTTTTCCATGTCAGCCCCTCAAACCTGCATCACTAACAGGGGGAAACCATGTTATAAATTCTGTATGTTTTATATCACCAAGTTTCAAGTGAGTTGTAAAGCTGACGGCCAGGAACATTGATTGAATAATGATAGAGAAATGACCTCGATTTTACACGATTTTTCAATCTAACTTCAAACAAAGAGAATGACTTGTCACGCAGCACGAAATAATTAAAATTGATTTTTAGCTAGAAGTAGGTCAATGGAGTGAAATAATGTCAAGGCTGTTTGATAGACAGATTAATGATGTAGTTAGGTCAGGTCACACAGAGATTCTACTGGGCTAACAACCTCATGTTTTATCATCAACTAACTCTGCTGACATCATATTATAACATGGAAAATTACCTGCATTTCAGTCAAAATTTATATAAACTGATAGAAAAACCTTGCTGCAATAGACTTATAATATTGATTTTATACCCAATAATAATACAGCAGGGTTATTAACCAGTCATGTCTAATGGAAAATAAAAATGTCAGGCATTATAAGTAGTGTTGGGTATTACCTGCATTTCAGTCAAAATTAACATGAACTGATTGAAAAATCTTGCTGCGATATAATATTGATTCTATACCCTAATCATAATACAGCAGGGTTGTTAACAGCCTATACATGTGTTCACCTGTCATGTCTAATAGAAGATACAAAATGTCAGACATAAATAGTGATCTCTAATAGGTCTCTTGAGAAATTTGACTATATTATAATATTTCTGATTTAATAGTGGTTATCATAATATATTATAGATGTTGACATTTATTCATGTTTGGATTATATTTTATAATTTCAGCTTCACATACTAATAGATAAAGATTACATCCATTTTGTATCAAGAAGAAACGCCTTCCGTCTGAACCGATTTTCACCCTACCTGTGTAAGGAAGTACAGAATTTACTGGAAAGAACGATCTGTGTGGGGGACAGGCTCCACAATCTACAGCTGACTGGGGGCGAGATCGCCTTATTCTGTGGTATACTACTGACATCAGGTTAGTTGATTGGTTAGATTTTATTTGTGACGGGGTGGGGAGACAGGAATGAAGTGGGGTGGGGCTTGAGGTTGGATGGCTGGTTAGGATTGAGGTGGGGTTGGTCAGGGTAGGTGGTTGTTATTGGGAAGGTGGTGGGGACCTTATTCAACCCTTATTCTGTGATGTACTACTGACTTCAAGTTAGTTGATTGGTTAGATTTAATTACTGAGAGGGGTGGGGAGAAAGGAATAGTAGGGGTGTGGTGGGGGAGGGGGGGTATTGGGAGTTATAAGAGATGGCCTCTAGATATACTATAGAACACTTCCATTATACCCAGCAATCTGTTTCCAAGTTATTTATGGACATACATATGAATATACATTCATCTAACTGCACAAGTGGGGGATAACAAAATCCTAGTTTTAGGGTGATAAAATTCCCGTTAAAAGGACTGGTGGGAGAAGGGGGCAAGGCTGCTAGATGTCTCAGTGAATGTCATTAATAAATATTGTCATATAACACTGACTGATATCTAACAACGTTATTGACACGCAGCAATCAATGTTTAACACCATGACATGTTTATTTTAGAATGTTCAGGGCTACAGAATCCTCACCAAGCAGAACGAGTACAGACTGACTTGATTGATGCTATTCGTCTAGAATTAAAACATAATCACCCTAAAGATCGTCTCATGATGCCAAAACTGCTCCTCTTGATGCCAGACTTGTGCCAAATCGTGGTGGAATTTACTCGAAATTTACAGGACCATTTGTTTGATAGATGTCCCAACTTTTCTAATATTAAACCTCTGTTGAAGGAAGTTTTTGATTTGGATGCCGTCAAGATTGAGACACCATAAAAATACTATGTGAAAGTTCAATACGTTTTGAATTAAATTGTCTAGAATTTGTGTCAGATTTCTACAAGTGTTTTGGATATTATAACATTCATCAGGATAGCAGGTTTTTAACATTGAACAAATTGCCTGATGTTGGCGTGTGTTTATACAATTTGGAAAGATTTAATATGATTTATGTGAGAAATCTATTTTGAGCGAGGATATGGTGAAGTTTTAAGGCTGCAGTAGAACAGCAAGCAGGTGAATGTAGAAATTGAAAAGTGCTCAAGTGTAATTTAAATGTACAGAAAGTGAGGGACATATTTTTGTATTTTCATAAAAAATACAAGTTTTTGTTGTCAATATTTTAGTTAGTTGTTACCATATTTATATCTTCACAATGTTTCTGCAAAATAATTTGGCCATCACAATCACTTATATTTATATAGTCATTTCAAAGCACATTGTGAACATTGTTAAGATATTAACAACTTTATCTTATACCTTGACTACTTCATCCTCAAAATGTCAAGCTATTACTAACTTCATCCTCACAATGTCAAGCTATTACTAACTTCATCTTCACAATGTCAACCTATTACTAACTTCATCTTATACTTTGACTGCAATAGCTACTGTTCTTGTAACACAGCTAGAATTTGATTGGATTGTACGCTAGTCAATACAGCCAATCAGAGTCCTTGACTGAAAGACTGTAAACATTATTGCATATTATTTACAGACATTCTGTCGAGGCCTCTGATTGGTGGCTGATTCACTGCATTAACATATCTTTGTGATACAAGAAAGGTGGATATTGCAGTCAAGGTATAAGATGGAAGTTTGTAATACCTTGCCCATTGTGAAGATGATTTATATAAACCCTAGAATACTGCTTTACTCATAGTGTCATAAAACAAATTTATATTGATCAAAATCCATTCATGTTTAAAGGGACAGATTTCACCATCCAAAGGTCTCAGAAACGGGCAGCTCACCATCAAATTTTAGCCTTCAAATCCATGTGTGTCCAGAATTATTCGCGTTTGAATGTTAAACTGACGAGTCGTCTTTTCTTGAGACTGTGCGATTTTTGTGCATTTGTAGTACTTCTGAAGAATATTTAAATATATTCAAGTGTGAAATCAACCCCTGAACAATGGTGAATATGTCCCTTTAAATTCATTAGAATATTACAGACACTGTCATTCATTAGAATATTACAGACACTGTCATTCATTAGAATATTACAGACACTGTCATTCATTAGAATATTACAGACACTGTCATTCATTAGAATATTACAGACACTGTCATTCATTAGAATATTACAGACACTGTCATTCATTAGAATATTACAGACACTGTCATTCATTAGAATATTACAGACACTGTCATTCATTAGACATCTTTTATAAAAGGTTGTCGGTCTTTATAAAGTGCTAACTAACATCTTCAAATATTGTTATTTGTAGTAATTTTGTCAGAGACAATAATTGTTATTATATTTTTGTTATTTCTCCCGGTGATAGTGCTTTCATGTTATCTGATTGTTATTAATGCAGAGCTGTTGATTTCACTGTATTTACCAGTCATGTCTGACTAGAGATCTAGACTGTATTTACCAGTCATGTCTGACTAGAGCTCTAGACTGTTGATTTGGCTGTATTTACCAGTCATGTCTGACTAGAGATCTAGACTGTATTTACCAGTCATGTCTGACTAGAGCTCTAGACTGTTGATTTTGCTGTATTTACCAGTCATGTATGACTAGAGCTCTAGACTGTTAATTTGACGGTATGTACCAGTCATGTCTGACTAGAGCTCTAGACTGTTGATTTGACTGTATTTACCAGTCATGTCTGACTAGAGCTCTAGACTGATTTTGCTGTATTTACCAGTCATGTCTGACTAGAGCTCTAGACTGTTGATTTTGCTGTATTTACCAGTCATGTCTGACTAGAGCTCTTTACTGTTGATTTGACTGTATTTACCAGTCATGTCTGACTAGAGCTCTAGACTGTTGATTTGACTGTATTTACCAGTCATGTCTGACTAGAGCTCTAAACTGTTGATTTTGCTGTATTTACCAGTCATGTCTGACAAGAGCTCTTTACTGTTGATTTGACTGTATTTACCAGTCATGTCTGACTAGAGCTCTAGACTGATTTTGCTGTATTTACCAGTCATGTCTGACTAGAGCTCTAGACTGTTGATTTGACTGTATTTACCAGTCATGTCTGACTAGAGCTCTAGACTGATTTTGCTGTATTTACCAGTCATGTCTGACTAGAGCTCTAAACTGTTGATTTTGCTGTATTTACCAGTCATGTCTGACTAGAGCTCTGATATATCAATCAACAGCTCTGGTATTGTTATTTTTGTTGAATAGTTGGGGAATGAGGAGAGTCTGTTTCAAAAGTTTATAAATTGTTGGAAAATTTTTCTTTCCTCTAAAAATGTTTTTAGCAAATAATATTCATAAAACAATTAGAAATATTCTCTCTTCTGGTATTAATATCAAAATCCAAATTAACGTCACAGTATGAATATGAATTAATTTGTTTCATGACGAGATTGGAGATTGGACTAAGTTTCTCTCACATCTTTGCCGGTGATATTCAGCTGTCAAATGATCGACTGAGATGAAAATTTTTAGATGTGTTTGTGAGCAGAGGGAGTTATTCAAAGTTTATTTTGGTTATTGGTATAATTTTGATTTTATGTAATGTGTTACCCAGTGATTTATAAAAACATTGACTTTATTTCTATTTACCAGACATAAGACAAGGTACATTTCATCATTGATAACAGTCACCTATTGTAGTCTGCTATATCAGTTAGCTAGATTGGCGTTAACTTGTCATTAACCAACAACTTATTAGCACAACAAATTTTAAACTATTCATATTTAATATTGTATCTTGTCCAAGGAATGGGTAGGGAAAAATTTGTGGAGCTACCCACTAACTGTCATTAAGCAAGCAGTAAGACACTATATATGGTGTTATATAACTGTCATTAAGCAAGCAGTAAGACACTATATATGGTGTTATATAACTGTCATTAAGCAAGCAGTAAGACACTATATATGGTGTTATATAACTGTCATTAAGCAAGCAGTTATACAGTATATATGGTGTTATTTAACTGCAGGCTGTATATTAGTATTAATGAACTCTAGGAACTGTAGGTTATAACTGAAATACTGGTCATTGAACCAGTGGTAAATGTCAAGTTTCGAAATAATCTTTTTTTATGTCTTAATGGAAATATTTTGTTTTGGGATGAAAATTTGCCGGTGATTATTATTATTATTGTTATTGTTAATCTTCATTGTTTATTGTTGGTTTATTGTTATTGTAAAGGTGTTCCAATTCACCCCCGTCTTCATAAACCCTTCAGGTACAGAAGAGTAGGACGTAAAAATCCATTTTAGTTTATTTGATTTCTTAGATTAAACCCCTTCTGACTTGTTACGTAAGAAATCTTATTATGGCTGAAATAAAATCTGTTAAATTACTGACTGATGGATGAATTGTCAGTCTAGATCTATCCTTCTGTATGTATATTTTATAAATTTTATTTCTGATCCCAATGGAAGCTATACGTTTCCCTGATACACATACAAAGACTAGAAAATCAGATTGGTCTAAATAAAAGCTATAAGTGTTTACCATACACATAAAAGGCGAGGACAACATGTTTTGAAACTGTTAAATTGTCAATGAATTTGTCAATCACATAAACACTTCAAGTACGAATAAATCAAATATATATTTCGGTGAAACTATCATTCATGATGTTCAGTGTAAAAAATAAATATGTCTTTATTATTGTTAAATAACATAAATAAGTATTGGTATTTCTCCCTGGGGCAATATCTGGTAAATATTTGAGTTGTTATTAGAGGTGACTATTGAACAGCAGTACCTAGTTAGGGTCGTTCCATAAAGCCAATGTCTATATTAATATCATACTCACTATTGTTGGAAAAAACTTTGTTATTACTGAAGTGCTAAGTTGAATTGTTATTGTTGTTATTGATGATTTGTTATTCTTGCTATAATAATTGATATTTTGGATAACATAATTGCATAGGAGTAGGCTGCTGTATTCTATCTAACACCCTATTTAACACCCTATCTAACACTCTATCTAACACTCTACCTAACACTCTACCTAACACTCTAATGACTTGACTTGTAAATGAAGCTTATCCATTTTCACGTTTTTCATAATTTTGTACTGTTATTGTTTTAATATTATTAATAATTCTATGTTTTGGTAAAATATAATGTTATAAAACTATAATGTTACAAGTATAACCTGTGACACGTGACTGACATGGAGGTTACGCAATTAGTATTTCAACATTTTTATTATAAACATCAGTGAAACATATATTTCATCATCAGGAAGATTCATAAGCCCTACATACTACATAATCTTTACAATGTCAAACTGTTATAAACTTCATCTTTACAATGTCAAGCTATTACAAACTACATTTTCACAATGTCAAGCTATTACAAACTTCATCTTTACAATGTTTCTAGAAAGGGGGCCCAAATTTTTCAGGAAGGCCACAGGGCATTCTTTTATGTTAAATGATAAAAAAATTTGAAAGTAGGGGGTGGGGTTCAGCTTACCCACTCCAACCCCAAGGTCCCCTCTGGTAGAAAAACCACTGATTACATAGTTCATGCTCAGTTTGACATTGTGAAGATAGTTTTACAAAAACAGGAACAGTACATTGTGTTTTTTAGGCATAATAGATAGTATATGAAACTTCACTAGGGTTTGTTCGATTAACAATAAAGTTTTAAACATCTCAAAGTTTCAAAAATAACTGAAATCATCCTTATGTCTTCTGAAGGGTGTGTAAAATTTAAAACTCAAATGAACGCCACCCCAGAACATTGTGTTTTGAAGCATAATAAATAATAATTGGTAAATAATAAATAGTATATAAAACTTAACAAGTGGTTTGTTTGATTAACAATTAAGTTTAAAATATCTCAAAGTTTCAAAAATAACTGAATCATCTTGTCTTTGAAACTTGAATTTGAAACTGGGATGAACGTTGCTCCCAGAGTTAATGTCCAAGTGTAAATATCAACAAAGCTCATAGTCTGTTATTTAGTATGTAAAATTTGTGTTCATTGAACTAAAAGCCTATAGTGTTCTGTCAGTTTAAAGGGATTTATTCTAATTTTCTAGTCTTTGTATGTATATCAGGGACATTTAAATGTTCTATTTGTACCATTCCTATATATCCAACTCTGTAGTTCCTGCGATTCTTGAAAGTATTGTTAATTTAGTCTGTAGTTCGTGTTTCTAGTAGAATTTAACTTGATTATGATTTTGTTACTGTAATTTTATGCTAAAGGCCAAGTTTCTTGAAGACCTTAAACAATATTATATTTATTATTACTTAACATCAATTTTACAGAATAATCTCTTCTTGTGACCTTGGCCAGTGCTTCTATAGGAGAGTATTTTCTATAACACCCAAGTCTTATTCATGAGAATGGTGTAGATTAACTGGAGAGTCCCTGATATACATATTAAATGCCTGAAAATTGCTGAATATTTCTGAAACATGTTGTTTGTTGACTCAAGTTGAGATTTGTTTGTATATTTATTAACTATATTTATATAACTTGTAAATAGTTGGTATCTATATATTATTAAACTCCATTATTTTTTAATTCTGGTTCTTCTTCTTCTTCTTCTACATAGTAGTAGTTTGAACAGGGTGGGATTGGGGGTGTGGGCATACATGTGTACAGATCAGAAAAAAAATCTGGAGATTTGCCTTTGAAAATCTGGAGATTGGGTGAATATCTGGAGATTGGGTGAATATCTGGAGAAAATCTGGAGATTGGATGAATATCTGGAGATTGGGTGAATATCTGGAGATTGGATGAATATCTGGAGATTCGGTGAATATCTGGATATTGGATGAATATCTGGAGATTGGGTGAATATCTGGAGAATGGGTGAAAATCTGGAGATTGGGTGAATATCTGGAGATTGGGTGAAAATCTGGAGATTGGGTGAAAATCTGGAGATTGGATGAATATCTGGAGATTGGATGAATATCTGGAGATTGGGTGAATATCTGGAGATTGGGTGAATATCTGGAGATTGGGTGAATATCTGGAGATTGGGTGAATATCTGGAGATTGGGTGAAAATCTGGAGATTGGATGAATATCTGGAGATTGGGTGAATATCTGGAGATTGGGTGAATATCTGGAGATTGGATGAATATCTGGAGATTGGGTGAATATCTGGAGATTGGGTGAAAATCTGGAGATTGGCTGAATATCTGGAGATTGGTCGAAAATCTGGAGATTGGGTGAATATCTGGAGATTGGGTGAAAATCTGGAGATTGGGTGAAAATCTGGAGATTGGGTGAATATCTGGAGATTGGGTGAATATCTGGAGATTGGTCGAAAATCTGGAGATTGGGTGAATATCTGGAGATTGGATGAATATCTGGAGATTGGGTGAAAATCTGGAGATTGGGTGAATATCTGGAGATTGGGTGAAAATCTGGAGATTGGGTGAAAATCTGGAGATTGGGTGAAAATCTAAACCAAAAGAATCTATCGTAAATAATAGCTGGTATCTATATATTATCAAACTTCATTATTCATTCTTTTACATAATAGAAGTTAGAGGGTGGGGATGAAGGAGATTCAATATATAGTAACCCCTCCCCTAACTATATGGTATAAAAACTACAGTACTGATGTTGTTATTATTCTGTACATCGTCTATTGTTATAGTTGCTGGCCTTTCTCTTCTAACATAGTGGTGGTTGTGATAGGGTAGTGGGGGAAGGGCTGGCATGTGGGTGGTTCAGTACATAGTAACCCCACCCTCAGCATGGTGGTATTAAAGCTAGAATACTAGAGTTGGCCTAGTGAGACATACATGACAGTTTAAAATAATATTTAACAAAATATTTAATGATAAATAGTGCTCAATACGTATAGCATGATACTCTGAGTTCTATTTTAATATATTTAACAAAATATTTATATATAAAAGTAAGAACTAGTAGAATATATTATCACAGATATAAAAATATGGAAGTAAAAGACTGAATTCTTTGGAGACCATCTATTTGATACAATGACATCATTGTTTATAATAACTTATAAATTATAAATTGTCCAATTAAAATGAATATCAAAAAAGACTCCAAGTCTAACTAATAAATATAATAATGTACTTATATACCAAATAAATAAATAATATTAGCAATATGAACCTAACAAAACAGTTAAATTAAAATGAGACCAAACCTTTGTTATTTATTTTAGACTTTATTTTCAAAAAGCCACTTCACAGTAGGGTCTAACGACAGCCCTGTAGAATGTTCGTCAAATTATCCTTTAAACCTTGATGACATCTGTTTTAGTCATTTTGTGACGCAGAGTTTATCAAGTTTGGTAGAAAGGTTAATTTCATGATTATTCAAGAGGGCTGTCATTAGACCCTAACTGAAGTGGCTATACATATAATAGCTAATAAAAAATATACAAATAAATCACAGGATAACGTGCAAACAGTAGGTACTAAGTCAATACAATTAGAGTAAATGTAGCTACGTTTCGGGACAAACCCCTAAATGGAACGAAAGTTTGGTTTCATTTTAATTAGACTGCCTCTGAAAGAACCGCCAAGTTGATAAATCCAATCACTTTGTGGCATCAGGTGTTCAGACAGGTAAACATGATACTGTTATGTTATCATAGTCAATTTAGTACTAGAGCTGGCAGTAGAGCAGCAACTATAGGCACATTACACATCTTAAAAACTGCAATATAAAACATCAATATTGTGGTCTGATTTATTTCAGGCGTGTATTGTAATATTTATTTGTAGTCTGATTTAGTCTAGGAATGTATGATTTACCTCCCATTGTAATATTTATTTGTAGTCTGATTTAGTCCAGGAATGTATTATTTACCTCCTATTGAAATTTTACTTGTAGTCTGATTTTGACTATGACTATAAAGCATCAACTGTAGTCTTAATATGGCTGAGCTTGATTGACTTGCCTCCCTTGAAATATATTCTATTGTTACTTGTCAAGCACATTATATTCTTCTCCAAATCTATCCAAAAATTACTGAAGAGATATTTAGCTAGATTCCTGTCGTGTCACCTTAGAAACAACCCTAATACACCTATCATGCCTTCCAACTTAAAACTGAATAGATTATAGAAGTAAACAAAGTGCACCATGGGAACATATGGGTTATTCTAGCTGTAATAAATGGAAGGAATCCGACCGTCTTCTAGGATGTGTTTTAGAGCATCAGAAGAATTTTCACCGCCAACTGTTTGATGAAGTCCTAACTCCAAGTCAATTCCCCAGACTATCTTACAATAAAAAGAGTGGGGAATTGGAGAGATCAGGCATTATGTCATAGAGGTGGTTCCTATATCACATGATGCACAACAATAACAGTTGTAAGGTTGAGTGGTTTGTCCTAGCAATTGTCCTACTCACTAAAGTTATACATGTGTTCTATTTTAACCATATCATAGCTAAGCTGTTTTCTCCTATTACATACTAAGATATACCCATCTCATGACTAACTTGATTTTAAGATTTTTTCTGTAAGGGGGCATCACTGGTGTAAAAGTTTAAATAGCAGACAACACTTACGTCATCGTATTGAAACGTTGTCATACCAGTTTCCTGACCGTTTTGTTGAGCATCTCGTCTTCTGAAAGCATCTAAAAATCATACAAATTTATACGTCATTTCAGTGAAGATGAAGTTTGTAATAGCTTGACATTGTGAAGATGAAGTTTGTAACAGCTTGACATTGTGAAGATGAAGTTAGTAATAGCTTGACATTGTGAAGATGAGTAAAGGTATAAGATGAAGTTAGTAATAGCTTGACATTGTGAAGATGAAGTTAGTAATAGCTTGACTTTGTGAAGATGAAGTTAGTAATAGCTTGACATTGTGAAGATGAGTAAAGGTATAAGATGAAGTTAGTAATAGCTTGACATTGTGAAGATGAAGTTAGTAATAGCTTGACATTGTGAAGATGAGTAAAGGTATAAGATGAAGTTTGTAATAGCTTGACATTGTGAAGATGAGTAAAGGTATAAGATGAAGTTCGTAATAGCTTGACATTGTGAAGATGAGTAAAGGTATAAGATGAAGTTTGTAATAGCTTGACATTGTGAAGATGAGTAAAGGTATAAGATGAAGTTCGTAATAGCTTGACATTGTGAAGATGAGTAAAGGTATAAGATGAAGTTCGTAATAGCTTGACATTGTGAAGATGAGTAAAGGTATAAGATGAAGTTAGTAATAACTTGACATTGTGAAGATGAGTAAAGGTATAAGATGAAGTTTGTAATAGCTTGACATTGTGAAGATGAGTAAAGGTATAAGATGAAGTTAGTAATAGCTTGACATTGTGAAGATTGTGTGTTGTTTGTAATAGATTTATGAAGTACTGGTAGGTCAGTATCTTGTCACGTGATATTATGGCACCAGTAGAATGATTATTGATTGATTGTATCTGACAGGTGATTTAAGAGTGAGACTGTATTACCTTCTTCTAGATTCTAGAATGTAGCACCTCTAACTATCAGTCTTAAAACAATAGTCCATAGGTTGAACCAAGTCCACGGTCCTAAGGGGGCCCCTTAGCTAACATTATGTTAAAAACAATCCAAGGGCCCCAACCCACTTCATTCCACAGGCCCTAACTCATATAGTTGAGCCACTGGTTTAAAATTCACATAAATGTACTTTTACATTCTGTCAGTCTCAAGGTCACTCCACCCACAACATTTCATCCACCCATTCAGAATCTGAGACATTGTGAAGATGAGTAAAGGTAT